GTTCCTATTAGCCAAGACATATAGTAAAGCATTTTAGAATCTGGATGTTCCTTATCTCAAATTGCGTGTTGACCCAACTGATTATGCTTTCGCAAATCAGATTGACCGTCAGTTACAAGTTGAAATCTGCCTCATATAATTTTAAGGTGACTTGAAGGTTGAATACACCTTCAAGATAGAATCATGATAAGATGCGTTATTCGAAGTGTTCTTTCCGCTTGACGCCATTGCAATCACTCATCTCGAATACAATATCAGTACAGTATCAGCCTCCCTTATCTAAGGTGATACTTAAGCTACTTTTTAATCGGTGGTAATTACCATATTGCAAGGCAAAAAATACATTAAAAGGTGCCCTGTTTGATGATGCAACAACCCGTCAAAGGTATACCTTGATGACATAAATTTGCTGGTCTTAATCATCTTAGGCGAGCAGAGAAATGGCTGAAGTTTGATGTCATAAAAGACAAGGAACCTTGTTAAACTTTAATGTTCCTGAGTAGTGAAGCCGCTCTTTTGTTATAAATCCGCATTCTTCTTAAGTATATTTTTATTTCGTTTATTTAATTTCGGCTGTTGTTGCTCATCAATGATGCGAAACCATAATCCCACTTCTGATGATAATTAATGCTTATGAAATCTTATAGTGGCGCATCTGGAGACGAACAGGATATTGCAAACTGACTTTTCACTTAAAAACACTTAATCCGTACTAAACATTCAGTCCTGTGTTGGCAGATTACTTATTTATATCTTGATAGGCCTACTAATGGATATTGAAGGCAATTGGGAAGGCAAAATCGCCCGCACTTAGATAAGGGATTTGCCAGATATTTAGTAAACTAGTAAAATCATAACCCAAAAATTCAACTACAACAACGCAGTTCACTGTATAACGCCAGAACTACGAAATTTGCCTGTACAATTTATAAAAAATAGGTCATTTGAATGCGACGCCTTGGCATACTAGTAGGGTAAGAAATGTTTCAATTTACACATCCGCTATGAGAAATACTTTCATCATTAGTTTGATGCAACTGTTCTCCATTCGATGAAAAAATTCTTTGACAGGCACTAAATGAGCCCACTTTTTAGTGCTCCAGTGTGAGGCATTTATTTTTGAAACATCACAGAAAAATAAATGCACACTTCTCATAAATCATGCCTGTTTGTACCACCTTTCTTAGAATGACTTAACATGATATCTGTGGGAGAGATAGGTGGAAAACGGTGTGGCCATAGAAACGTGCGTTAATTATATCGTCAACATTGAGTTGACTCAAAATATTCGTTATACGACTGTTTTGGGAACAATACGACCCAGTGCATATTCATAGTCTAATGGGCATAGCTCACAGCTCTGAAATTCTTCAAAACCTCAAAATACGACGAGTGAAGTGTGTAGAATGGCCCTTAACGCCTTGGTGTTTAATCGTAGGTTTGAAGCACATCTTGGTCGAGTCTTACTCATTTGACGTGCGAACACTTTGCATAAAATCAAAAAATGTTTGAAATATTGAAAACTTCATCACCGTGTTTATTGTTTTCACCAGAACAATAATGTCTTAATACTTTAATTCTGCCCCAGAATACAGCCCACAAAAGGGAGCAAACATGCTTCTTACCCATTTTGAATAACTAGGAATGCTATTCCCAAATGACTAAACCTAGCGTCTTTTCGCACATATAATCACAACTCTCCATTTTAACACAGGAATTTTTACGTACATGAAAACCATACTAAAGTAGTATGACTACATTTTAGGTGGCTTGGATATACGTTAATATCTAGTGGTCCACTACTTACCTTCCGTCGCCAATTCATCACCAAGCTTATTTGGAGAGAACTGGACATCTAAATTGCAAATGTAAAACTGAGTCTTAAGTTTGTACAGAGGCTGATTCGGATAGGTTAGATGATTATCCTCGACAAGGAGCGCCCAGAGTCTTCCCCGAAGTCGTAACAAGCCAGGGCAATAAGAACGCGTGTAAGAGTTATCAGGCAAGTAGCACATTCCGAGGGCCATTTCACTGAGCGGAAGCACAGCTTGTGGGGACCGATGAGCCCGCGCACACAAACGGTTTAACAGTATCCAGTCTCCCAGACCCGTCCTAAATTTCAACCAAAATGAATGGCACTCTTGGGAAATACTCAAATGAAAGGTTATTTTGAGCACTCGAGAAACCATGTCACATCGGTTTTTGGCATTGCCTTGGTTTCTGAGTCGAGGAAGACCACCTCAACACCGTCAGAGCGACGATCACTTGCAGTGATGCGGCATCAGAATGCACGCAAATAATAGGTATGTCATGGATTGGCTGAAGTTAAATTGACGATTAAAAATTCACTGTAATATCCGCAATAATAACACACCCTTCGAATTGGACACGCCTTGTGTCATGATGTTGGGGCAATTTCCCTTGAATTTTATAATATAACTATAAACGACAATATGTGAGTGTCGTGGTGTTGAACAAGCTGCACCATCGCCATTGTCAGCTTTTACCACAAATGAAATAGCATGCTATAAACAGCCCATAAATGAGCTTTAGTGCTAAATTCCAGACCAACCATTGGTGAAGTTGTGGCAAACTATTTCGGGGGACAGTTGAACAGTTTAAGCTGTCCAACAAGTAGTTGGACTTGCCAACCCAATGTCCTCTAGGGTTGTTAAGAAAGCAAAAACGCTGCACGTGCAAGTCAAGAATGAAAATAGCAAAAAACGGTTATTGTGGGCACTTTATCGTCACTTCATAAAATCAATAGAAAAGGAAGGCACAAGAGGTAAAGCAGCATTGACGAAATTTGATTGATTGTACAAGGCAATGCTTGTCTCAATGACTGGCAAATCCTGTAGTTGTTTGTATGAAACTTGGGCCTAATAATCAACACCGAACGCCTCTCGCTGTACCAGCCGTAAGCGCTTCAGGTAATAATTCGGCCAACTGATGTATGAAAAGGCTTACCAGTTTAGACATTTCATTTGCGTACACTTACTGCAAAAACGGGTAATAATTTTCCCCGTATCTACCAGTTGAACCATTTACCCCATTGCCATTTATGTGATCTTACTAAAAAACTCTGTGCTGTAAGTAGGATGATTTTAAAGAAACGGTCCATGACAGAAACACAATTTGTAAGAAAGAGCATTTTCATCTTGTCTCCACCCAACCAAACATAATATTAACGTCTCCTTCGAGGGTACGGACACAGAGTTGAGAAATAGGAAACTGATCCATTTCATTTTCATTTCTGAGATCTCCTGCCCGAAAGTAATAAAGTTAGGCGAGAAAAAGAGGAAGAGAGAAAACATCCGATCATTAAGCCACCGTCTATATTAACAAATCAAAAAGACGAGAGGGAGGGGAGGAGATTTGAAGAGAGGATCAAAACCGATTGGAGGGTGGGGGAGGGGAGGATAGATGTCGCTTGCATCACTAGGTCTCTGACATACTGAGCATCACCCCTCCTGGCATAAAATTATGTTGTCCGTATTCGACTATACACAAGCACGCACGGATGCAATCACACAAACACACACGTTGAGATCCACAAGTAAGGGACGAGGCTCAGTTCGCATCAGACTCAATGGGGAACAAAGTAGAATGTTGGGAGGGTGAGTGATTTGGGTATCAAGGAGATAGTAAGCACAGTAAGGCGAGAAAACCTAGATGATGCAAATACTGTAACAGAGGAGGAGGAAGAGGAGGAGAGGGCAAGGTGGAGAAGTGATAGATAGATAAAATCACAGTTGCGGTTCTATGTTAGAGAGGTCATATTGCACAGAGAGGGTTCGACGTGCGAACACCCGTCATGATTTGTTGCGTCGAGTGGGGTGTATGGGGCTCGAGGAAACAAAGCCGACACAAAAAATGGCTAGAGTGAAGCAACGTTCGCATTAAATGAACCCTACACAGATGGATGGATAGTGACGAGGAAAGGCAAACTGCATGAATCTGTGTCGATGCTTCCCTGTCTTTTTCCTTCTGCGTATTGTCTTTGGGAGAAAGAAGGAAGGTGAATGGGTTGGTGGGCTGACGGGTGTTTAACCTTATAATGGAATGTCATCATTTTTTGGTGTACGGTGCAAAAGTGGAGGAGACAGCAAACGAAAGGGGGTGTGAGCAAGAGGCCTGTTGTCACGCTTTGGCTCAATGACCTAAAAGACATGCAAAAATGACGTTTTCATAACCAGCAAACCTCAATAATGACCAAAAAGCATGTGTTGCTCTCGAGAACTAAACAAGTTTCAACTAGAGGCATGACAACTTCATATTCATATGGTATACTGCCAAGGATACCTCTTTTAGATATCGCTTGAACAGTAGTTCTAATAATAGTGTATGAACAACTTCAGAACTCCATACTGCCCAAATATCGTCACTTGCAAACTGATAATTGCAACTACCAACGGTAGAATTCAATTATTTGCGAAAGTGCAATGCAGGTGTGACACCACAGTCAAATTGCAAACTAATCTATTTTGCCATTACTTTTTTATCATTTCCGTTTTCGTTTCAATGCGACAGCGCGTGGGTTGGACGAGTCACTAAACTCCGTTTTGCCTTCATGCTAAGTAAAAATAATTAGGTGCGAAGGTAGGTGGTGCAAATGATGCGGTGCAGAAAAACACTCTCCTAAACAGGCGATGGTTTTACCCGATCGCTGTATTATTTTCATTTCTTTTTGTTTCGCCTCCCTTTTTGAAGCACTTTACACCCTTGTTGTTTTGAGAGTCAGTGAGAATGACTGAACGTTAGGGGCGCTGTCGCTTATCGCATCGTCATACATTCCGCTGACACTAACAAGGAGTCATCAGGCAGTCCTATCAGTTACTCCGAAACCCGAAAATCGCAGATTTAACAGTGTAATCATTTGGTATCCATTAGCTCAGCCGCTTGCAATTGCACGCATTTTAAATATCATGACTCGAACGAAAAAGAAAAATCGAGTTTTGAACAACAAACCAAATAAAAATACAAGCTTTCTCTCAGCAAAGCTATTCCTCAGGCAGCGTGGGGTTGAGGAGGAAATCGGGCGAAGCAGAGGAGGGGGAAGAGGAAGTGCCAGAGGTCACGGCAGCGACAGTTTCATCCACATGACTGTGATTGGCAGATAGGGGAGCCAGTTCGGGTCCACTGCCACAGTCGATGAATCGGTCCTCAAGAGTGAAATCGTGTAGAAGGAAGGGCGTCGGTGTCACTGGCCGACGGTCCGAGGGAATCGCTACCTGTAAGCGTAAGCCTAGTTAGTGTAAGCTAGTTAGCCAGCTGGATCAGCGAGAAGATGGAAGGGCGGACCTGTGAGTGGAGGGTAAACTGAGAGGCCCCAATAGCGGCTTCCGAGCGCAGAGCTGTTAGTCCGCGACGGGACTTGCCGCCACCACCGCTGCTACTGTTCACTATGGAGGGCAAAGGGCTGGCAGAGAAAACAGTAGTGGTGGTGGTAGTTGAGGAGGAACCGGTTTCGACAACAGCGGTAGTAGTGGGTAGAATGGCAGGTAGCATAGCTCCACTCGAAGCATCTACCGCCACTCCACTATTTGCCCCCAAGCCGGGCTCTGTGTGGCGACGGTTGACTTTTCGCCGTTTTCGCTTCTTCAGCATTGTCGCCTGGTGTGTTTAAAAACGACTGTAAAGCTGTACCTTCCCATGGCAGCGAGCAAGCCTCTCACCAGCTATGGTATAATATTCCGTGATAAAATAGTTGCTTTTTTCCTTAATAGAGCAAAATTATCCATTCTGGTTATTTAACTATGCTTTTAACGAGCTGAAGTTGATGAGTTTAAAAGTGCTCACACACCAAAAACGATCACTATCTCCGATGGCTGGAAAGAAGTCTCTCCTATAAAACCCACAGGTAAAAAATAGAACACGTACATTATGTTTTAGGAATAAAGAGATGGAAATCCGGCCCTTTTAAAAGTTTACTCCGTTGAATGAAAATCTCAATACACCGTCACCATTAAGTTGATCTTTAAATCTGTTCTTGACAAGGGACTAAAATGAAGTAGTACCCAAACTAGAAGCCAGCTTTAAAATAAAATTAGTACGGCGATTCCAATACTCCCAACAGTAAAGCATTTGTTTGTCTTGTATGGCAGGATGGAAGGGGAGCGGTGTCCAGACGGGATGTAAGATGGTTTTTGGTAAAGTTGAATGATTCTGAATTCCCGTACGAGCACACAATAGAAAAGCAAAGCAGATTAACAGCTGCGTATGGGGAACAAAGATAGTCTGGAGTAAATACATTGAATGTGAGCAAATTCCAGGTAAATTCAACGAGCAGCATGTCACGAAGACCTGGGGTAGGTAGCCGAGTTTGGCAGTCAGATCATCGTTCGCAGTCAGGTGTTATGGTAAAGCCAGAAAATGATCACTGAAATTGTTTAATACAATTTGAATCGTCAAATAACTTTTGGTGTAATGACAATAATAGCATGAATAGATTAAGATTTCAAAAATGAGTATTATGCACATCACGGCCACCGCGATTACATGAAAAGTAAAGTAGCTGTATTTCAAATTACGCTCTCAAAGTCAATCTTTAATCGGATAGGTTGTTACTTCAGATACATAAATATTTCAAACGTTGCCTACTATACTATTTCTAGCATATTCAAAACCTCGAAAATCACCTTTCAGATTTCAAGAATTAAAAATGGTGGTGCAACAAGCAATTTTCAGAAAATAACAAGCCACCTAGAAATGCCTGTTTTGAAAGACCCGAAAATTAAGAGAAACATCCAAAGATAGAATGCCACAGCTATCTTCCGAGTCCGAAGCCTGGTGAGCAGACTTGAACACCTAAAAACGCTTTCAGTCTACCAAGGTCGTACAGCCAAATTAATCACAAATATACTGCGTTAAAATAAGTGTCCATCATTTTTTTCTCGAGTATGAACTTGACAGTGGTCAGAATAATGAAAACAATGTGTGGACACATAAGAATGCTTTTCGGCAATCTTCATGTAAAACCACGGAAGAGTACTTCAATTTCGCATACCTATGTTAAAGTTAAAAAATTAGTCAAATTGAATTTCCTATGGTAAAATTAATGCATACAAGCCAAATTCATTCAGCTGCCATCACACAGACGCATAAACAGTTTTAAATGTGAGATTATAGAGGGGAGGTACAATGATGAGATTACCTTCAATGCGGAGCGCAGAACAACAATCTGCCCCGGTGACTGAATCCACGGCTCGCCATCCACCTGGACGGGGATATCTGATTTCAGTGTGATTCTTATCTAAAAGGTGCGAACAGGCACGCCTGGGTATGGTTGTAATAGCAACAGCAACGGTAATAGTGTTAGTAATGTGGGATGATATAAATCATCGCGCGGTCCCGCTGTATCATAAAGTTGTGCTACGCCACGCCTGTGACACGCGGTACAAAAGAGCATGGACATCAAGTAAGCGCGAAAGGAAGCACCCGGTCTAGAGTTGGATAGAGGATCGGGTGGGCTCCGTCTTGCCACTGATCATCAAAATCAGATTGGTAAGGTTCTTAACAGCTGAAAATGGGTAATAGTAGCTTGGAGGAGGTATACGCCCATTGTGCTAAGTGCAAAAGATAGTGGCCTAGTTCTATCCGCATTTTCACCTCAACGAAAACTACTAACTTCAGGAATCTTGTTGGGCGGGATGTCGGAGTAGGAAGCGTGTCCCTTCAAAGGATAATATCTTGACTCATGAGAGCTTACGTGTCCGCCCTGAGCGAGACGCGTGCCGGTGCGGAGACCGGAGAAGATTTGGCCCATATGAACGACCCCAGTGACGCCGACGACCTCGAGGAGGCCATCGTAGTGAGTGGGCTTAGCGAAGGCCTCATCCTTCTCCATACCCCATGGATTGGCGCCAGCACCCCACGAGAGGATGTTGAGGATAATAATACCCTCTATGGGTGGCAGGTCCAACTGCCGGCCGTCCACCTCAATGAGGACATTCTGGTGCAAGTCCTTGCATTTCGTCTGGTTCACCATCTTCCGTAGACCCATCTTGAAGTACACCGACTTGTTGTGGATTCTGGCCATCACAGAAATAAGTAGAAGTTAATTACAATTCTAATCAGAGGGTTTAAGCAGAACCGACATTTACTATACACATAAAATGGTTCCCTAAGATAGGTGACTTAAAGTTCGACCTTCATGCCTTGAAGAAACGCTATAGCGTTTCGCACTGACTTCAAAAATATCCCTTTGAAAAAACACAGCATATGATGAAGTTACGCCTCCATTCCAACTTTAATTAGAGAAAAAACATACTTCAAGGCAGGAAATAATCAAGTAGTCAGCCATTTTAAATGAGCACAGACCTTCACATATGCTTTATCCCCAGTAATGAACGCTGGGGAGCCAAGTAATTTGAAGACGGCCTGATAAAAGGCAGCTGTTATGAATTTAGAAAATAGGCTGCACAAAATTTTATCTAATTCCCAAAAAGAACAGACTTTGGGACTCATTTCTAAATTTCCACTTCTAGTCGAATTTTCTACAGAAGACCTTATGCGAGAAAAGGGGTACGCACGCCACGTACTGGATTAATGTTGAAATCAAGCAAATTAGGCAATAGCAAATCACATAAGAGGATGAAGCTGGGAGACATTCTATTAGTTATTATGTTGGTGATAAATAAGGCGAGATTAACGGCATAATGAGAAATGTCACGCGGTCTTGTATGTTGCCCCCGATTAGGCTGCTAGCCCTTTCTTTTCAAAAAAACCAGGACTTCTAAAAAACAATTACATGCTCCAGAAGGAATATGCCCTAGGGGCACCAAACTAATTTTGAGGTCAAACGAATCAGTGATAGGCAAAAATACCACTTGTAAGTTACATAAATCCACATTAAAAACACTTATATTCGTTTTAAAAAAAGTAATTATTTGAATAGTATCGAAATACATGCATGGTACAGCAGGCACTCGATCAATCAGCTAAATTTAAATCTACAGTAATGCATAGGAAGTTACTCATCATTTCAAGGGAAACAAAGCAATATACTACTGATTGCTATTGAAGGTAATTTGATAGCACATTAGCGGATTATTTCACTTCCTGAAAGACACCACTTTAGTCTAATCCAGATATGAAGACTGTAGAACGAAAAAGGAGGAAATGGTATACATCAGTTCTGCCCAATGCAGTTTACAGATTGCATTAAGACTAGTGTTTCCAGCATAAAAGACTGGAGCAGTGAGCCTGTAATTTAATAACGGGGATTGTAAAAAATTTAAGCTAGTAAAATTTGGATAAGGAGATTCGAAGTAGAATGAAATACGGACAAATAGATGTGGGGATCCCCCAATTTTCCTCATAATTACTACTTTCAATGCACTATTCAAAAAAGCATCAATAGAAGATTGCTGTTCATGAAAGTCTTCAGCGGTACGCCGATTCGACAACAAAGGCAGACATAATGGCCAGAAGTGTAAAAGCATTACAGCAATGCTAAGCAAAGGTGGGTTTTCATTACAAGTTAAAAGTGGCATCTATGTATTAATTATAACGTAGTGCAGCTTCAAAAAGTGCGCCACCTCAGATTTTCACTTCCTGAAAAACCAAAGCACGCCTCCATTCGTCAACCTCGGAACACCAATTTAACGAATTCATTTGCAGCAGTATTTTTTGTCGTTTACACAGATAGGAAATAAATCGATTGACCTTAAAATGATCTTCCACGTTGCTTATTGTTTGCCGAGTTTTCTAAAACTGAAACCATGACTAAATTTCAAATATGCATGATTCCCACTTCCTAGGGTTCCTAAATAGGAATCTACTACAGCATCTGCCCTTAAAATACAGACGCAGCACGAAGACTGAATGCCATTATAACCCAGCTAAGACAAAAAATCGCTCCTCCTGGCGCTATGACAGTGTCTCTAAATTCATTATGGCAAATTGTTTAGCTATAGTAGATGATTTTCCTATTTCAACCGGTACTATACCCAAACGAAGCCGTAAATATGAAAATTTGTGCGGTTATAAAGGTAGCATTTGAAGTAACGATTTACCAAAAACGGACTGTTGGTATTAAAATAGAAACAAAATACAGAAACTATGCATTATTCTCAGATTTACCAATTGAAGAATGTGAGAAAAGTTTCAATGCCTCACAGAGACCTATTGACGGCTTCAGAGTAGCATTTCAAGCCTGACTAATTAGGCATAATAAAAAGATTTTGCATGTGATTTTAAAAATCTGCAGTTGTGGGAGATAGATTCTAGTTCTTTTTTGTAAAACTCAAAGTATGTTCTACCTCCTGTTCCAAATAGAGTGAGCTAAAAAAAACGAGATAAATGCACCCACAGTTCGGCTAAAAATGTAGATCAAGCCAGATTTTGTATTCAAAAAGGATCCATATATATCAATTAAGAAATATGGTAATAATACTAACAAAGAGAGGGCCTAAGTACACATATAGATAAGGCCGATGTATATGTTTGTTATTCCCACCTGCATATTTTCCACAAAAAGGATGTGAAATCGAACAAGTTTAGGTTTGTTCAAGAATAGGTGTCCCTCTCGCACCCATGATGAAGGTAATAAAACGAGACAGAAGGAGCGTCAGTTTCTATTATCAGATTTCATTAGAGACCATCAAGTGATTAAGGCAAGACAGGGCAGTGACCCCGCTGCAATCAAACGAACCGAATTTCGCCAATACGGATAACACTCACTGCTGGTACGAAAAACCGCTCCAATAAATGAAATTTTATAATCCCATCACTTTATCAGATTTAGAGTGAAAAGAACCACCACCAAACTAAGCCAAAAATAGTTTACAGTTTATTAATTGTTCGAGCCCCACTTTTTTACCAGTATCTTTTACCTTTAAGTAAGGCTATAGCTATGTACTGCAGGTTATGATAAACCACTTTTTCTCTCGAATGGACAATGACATTTAGTAGAGAATAATTTTGGGATTGATATACGAATAGTAATTGAATGTAAGCGAATGCGTGAAAGATTAGGGATTAGGTTGTGGTAGGTATACGACAACATTTCTTACTTAAAAGTCCTCTTGCTCAAAGCAACCGCCACTAGGGGAAAAAGAATCTAAACAGCAACGAGTCAGGTTACTAACAATGCGCAAATCACAGTGGTATGAAGGCTAGCACAGTTTGATGGTGACGATCAACCTTCAAGAGGTAAAATTCCTAGGGGACATATACTGACGATCGACTAAACCACCCACATATGCTTGAGCCAGCTGTATGGACTCAACCGCGTAAATGTTAGGCAATTAAAGAAGTTAAAATAATTAATGGTCGTATTGTAATATTAGCCAGTAGGCCGCTTTGGTTTAAGCAAACTAAACAAAACCATTGCTGTGTGCAAGTGGAGAGCTCTGGACAGGGAAAACGCTATATTAGGCCCATTCAGAAGCAATCTTAATTATTCAAAGGCCAATGCATGAGGGGAGGTAGCGGGATACACAAGGGCTAAGCAAATAACTAGAAGCGTACAGAGGCTAGGCTACGTATTGAGTGTACGGCGCGATAGAAATGGTAAAGCAGTATTTACTTGGTTTAATCTAAGTCTTCCACTAGAAATAGAGATTTTGTAGTAATGACATGTCGCATATTTTGCTTTTGTGCCTTATCAACAACAGTTTATCCACTTATAACTTATTCACTTATTAGCCCACGCAGAACTTGGCACAAGTTGAAAACATAACTTGAAAAGACTGAGATAAGCCAATTGGCTAACAACATGGAGGATGACAAACGAAAAGCGACTTTTATCAGGTTCTATACGAAACAACTCCACTATTATATACCCAGTTCTTTTTTGTGCATTGCGGATAATTATTCAAAACACCGAAGAACAATATACACCCTCACTCAGGTGAACACAATTTCATCGTTTTCCTAAAAAACGTCTAACTTGACGACAGTAAACTGTCAATGTTTATGCATCAACGGATCCTATGAAAGGACCTCCCTAGCATAATTGGAGTGTGAATCCGTATTTGGTGGATACATAGTTTTGCCGAGATTTCAGAAAGTAGTCCTCAGTTCATATGTAGGTAGGGTGCTGGAAGTGCCACTCATTCAAGAGGATCCTCTGGGTACCTCTAACCAGGTGAGGCCGAATATCACCGTCGTTAAGCCCCCAGGTTAAAGTTTTACTTTTGAATCGACTTACTGAAACCAGGTGCAATTGCAGTAAGCCACGAAACGTTCGTGTCAGGGAGGGTTGAACTCCCAATTGCTAAACTTTTTCTTAGCTAGAAATTTAAAAGTAAACCGCATCACATGTTCGCTCTGGCTTGACATAACCAATGCTTATAAAATTCTCAATTCACTTCTTAAAGTAGTATGAAGAGATTAGCCAATAAATGACTGCAAAGACATCGACTGGGTAACATAATAAACGCGTAAAAGACCTAATGGAATACGAGCATTAATCTTGCTTAGAGCAACAAAAAATTAAACAATCAGTAAAGTGAAGCGGACCGGTCAAATAGGGTTTTTTGTAAGGTGTAAAACTGACCTGCTGTTGAATTTAGCTGGGTTCTCCTCACGAGCCAGGTGGAAATCAAGATTGAGGTCGGCGTCGATGCCAAGGCCGAAATAGTTGTTCATCACAAAAATGCGGCTGGTGTCCTCGTTGGTGTTGCAGGTGTTCGCCTCTATCTGCAGCTGCTTCTTCTGCGCGTCACTCTCAACCTGATCTGGCTTAATGACAACTGTCCAGCGGTCGAGGCGTATCTCCTCCGCCTCCACCACGTCTCTGGAGCACAAAAAGATCACCTTAAAACAATCACATTACCCAGATAGCTTACTTGAACTGCGAGTCTATAATGGGTTTTTAGTCATACCTTGTTGTTATTTCTACTATTTCAATAACCTCACACATTTAGGGGTAGCATTGAATAAAAAAACAATGAATTTCTAAATTAACGTTACAATAAAGACTCTCTAATTACATAAGCCTCTTGGTAAGAGCCAAAATAAGCTCAACTCTACTCCATCCAGATCGTAAACTCAGTTTTCAACAAGGATTATTATTTGTGTGCCAATATTCTCTCAAGTCTGTGTTCAAAAAAGTACAGAGGATACGTCAAATGTCTGCCATCTTAGACTTAAGACAAATATCTAGGTTCATCATCAGCCTCATTCTTAAGTTGAATGGCTATTCAAAAATACATCGACCAAATGGGAACAATCCTGGAGTCTTTCTCTTCGACAATTTGAAAACTTTTTTATCATAAGAACATTTCACTTCTAATACATTTCCGTGGCATCGTTTTTCATCATTTGCTAAGGTTTGAGCTTACACCTTATAACCGAATCACTAGACCAATTTTTTCAAAGCAAAGAAATCATGTTCTGATTCGGCATCCATGAAATTTGAATATTCACTTGTGATTTGAAAACGAGGCGGTTTAGTGAATGTTAATTTCCAAAGAAAGAAGTTTCCGAAAATAATATTAAAGTCGCAATCAACTATTTTTGAATTTCTGACACAACTTGTTACGATATGAGTAAGAAACAACTCCAGACTGAAACGCTTTTCTCAGATTAGAAAAGAATCATAACAATAGTTTAATTAGTAATAATAAGCTAATCAACTTTTGATAATAAGATTTTTACGTGCTCTAATATCATCTGGGGCTGCAGACATCCGACAATCAAAGTAAAATAATTCCATCTCCTTTTTACACCATAGAAGCTATATTACTTGAAATGAGATGAAAGAGTTCTAAAACCTGGCATGAGAGATATTCCCGACTAATAAAGAAGAGGAATTTTTGATTTATTTAACCCTTGGATATATTACTGCTCACGAGAAGGAAAGAAAGACTGACCGGAGGATTTGCAGGGGATCCTCGGTGCCTGTGTATCCTGGACCCCAATGTAAAACGCGCGCGAGGTCGTTGCCCGTCCCAATGGGTAAGATGGCCATGGGTGGGGTGGGGCAGGCAGCATCCTGACCCACATTATCCAAGCAGGAAAGTGCCCAGCCCACCGTTCCGTCACCGCCGCACACGAGGATTTTGAACCGCGAGAGGTGCCGAAAACAATGCAGCCCGGGCAGAGGACCACCATTATCCAGATTAAACACCTTGTGGGGAAAAACTAGACTCAAAACAGGGAACCCCATCATCAGATCTGTCATTTCTACAAAAACTACAATGTCCGCCTAATTACTCGATATAACCATGAATAAAATTTCCAACTTTTTGGCAGGAGATTCTCATTTCAGCGAAATTTTTGCCCGAAAGTGGAATTTGGAATGCCACTTTAACAACAGCATAGCAGATGGCTATCATTGAACTTATCCATTCAACACCTAATCCAACCTCAGCTACTCAAACGAAATCAGTGAAACTATAGCGTTAACTCACAAAAGTGGGGAAAATAAGGGATATCCTGGGGATGTTCACAAGTAAATACGATACCCGTATTGCTAATTACGGAGTGATGAGTTGGGAGTGCATCAATAACCCATCACACGAAAGCAGCGTGGACATTCACTGATAGAGAGGAGAATAAATAATGCAAGAACTCACATAGCCGGCTCATTGCCTTCCATAAAAATAAAAATTAGGAGTAGCAGTAGTAGACTAAGCATTACCGTCAACAATCACCCTCATTGAGCTCGCAGTCAGTCCCAACTACTTTATGTTCAACTTTCATCGTTAAAGGGGTATATTAAAATGAGTAAATAATCACTTTATAGATTCATGAGTTGTAGGGAAAAGTTAAAAGGTATTCATGCAGAAGAGCATGAAAGACACACCTGATGAGGATTGAGCAGTTTTCGGAAAGATGTGATAAGCTCTAGGCCCTGACACCCACCGGACTTGACGTTCACGAAAACTAGTAGTGGTTGCGTGCCATCCAGGATGTGTTCGGGCTTTATTCGGGGCAAAATCATCGCGAGAATCGGCCGATCCTCAAATGTACTGTTCTTCAAAAGGCGGTAGGCTTCGTCTGCCTTCTCTGCATTCGAGTATATCACCACTAGACTTCCAAAGTCGTAGTAGATCACCTCTGAAAAAAACGCGAAACTGACGAATCTAATTTTCACGTCGAAATGTCAAAGCAAAAAAAAATGGAGGCTTGGTAGCAGAAGCGACTGGATGCAGCTTCCACTGTGATCATAGACACTGCACACCAGCCCAACAGTCCGTAAACATGACTAAAGCCCTATTGTCCTGAAACTCGTGTGTACTTTATCAAAGTTACAAATTGTCAACGATAACTGGCGCGCCTTTTGTGTGGTTTTGTTCCCTTTTCCAATCTATTTAAATTATTGTTATCCCCATTACCGAGTAGGACTCACATCACCGCCACTGCCCCTATTTTGATGTACAAAATGATATTAGGGACTTTTCCATCCAAACTCTGTAAGATTGACTGCCTCACCTAAAGTTAAGGCGTTTGCTTGTATTTACACTATTTCCTTTGGACCACAATTAATCAAACAAAATCGGCCTCATGCTTGGGTTAATTTGCTACCTGTCTCTATTTTCTGCCCTCGTCGTGTATTTAATCATGCAAAGCCAAATTGCTACTCTGAGCCAATAGCTCAGTAGAAATAACAGCATACAATTAGTCAATAATGCTAAATAGTCGAATAATATGTTGGGTCTGATGTCTTTGTCTCCCCATGTCAGCATCCTAAAGAGCACATAGGTGTGGCAGTAGGAAATTGTAAACCCCTACCTCCACCACTTCCATGTTGAAGAGTCAACTGGAACCGGAGCTGAAGTTAGCTCAAAGTAGGATATGAAGACCAATGTTAAAAACTGGTGTATTTAAACGCACTATAAAATTAAAAAAATGAAATGTTGAAGGAAGTTCAAAAATTTGAGGAAGATAAGTTTACTACATTTAATGACAGAACTCGTCCGCTTACGCCGCCTACACATTGCTGACTGCTGTAGCACCCAATTCCCTTGACGGGGTACCTTTAGATGAATTACAATCCGCATCACTGCATTTCAACTCTAGAGGTATTGTGATATCTTTGGAACAGCCCAGCCTCCGTAAATTTGTAGAAAAATCTCTAGCCTTATTGATGTTCTTGTAACCATTTTTCCCCTTCCCGTAAAGGCCTTTGATAAGCGAACTTTACGCCATGCACGATAAACCCTTGGTAGGCTTATGGAAAGACACACGAGTTAAACCGGTTACCTGAGCCTACCACAGAACCTACTGAAATCACCAAGAGTGGGAGTAACAATTATTAAGTGGTATCGTTCATAAGAACGCACTCCGGCACCGCCGTTAAAGCGACTGGCCGATGTTGTTCACTATACGTGGATCCTCTACCGTGCTGCCCCCGACTATGGTATTTTCAATGCCCTTTTACGGAAAACTAATCTCACTTCAAAACGGCGACTAAGTGGGAGCTGCGAGGATGTCAAATGTATTGGAGAGGCAGCCCTTGCACTTCCTCGCCTCCCATAAGAAGTCCGTGGGAGGGTTTCGACTGGAGCAGTGTCTTCAGAGGGTCGCCGACTTCGCTAATGTCAGTCTGGAGGCGGTTTTCAAGTTCATTAAAAGGCACGGGATTCTGACGTCAAAGCGGTCTTGTTGCTCGAGGTCATCCTCAACTTCTGTCTTATCGACTTCCTGACTGAATTTGCATCACTACTGACAGGCGATTCTGAGGTCTACATAACCCACACTCACAAGAACCCATTACGTGAAATGACCCAGCCTCTACCTAAATTATTTTTCAACCTCTTGAAGATGCACGGAGATAGATTGTGTAGGGGGGATCTGACCCTTCATGTTTTGCTCCAATTCATCAATATTCAAGTACTCCTGAAGGCCACTTTATTTCGTTATGTGTAAACAGCTACCTCCTCCTCCAAAATGATCATAATTATTCGTTTAAAGTTTAAAACACTGGAAAGTGGGGGAAGATAGGTTATCTAGAAATTGAAATTAAAGATGGCAAGTCGCAGCAAATTATGAATTGATATTACATATTTTTAATCCAAAGGTTAGCTATGTAGAGAAAAGACGGGGTGTTTAAAGTTGAGAAAAAAACTTGTGGGGAACTAAATGCATGGCATGATGTAAAGGTATGAACATGGAACCCCAGATAATCTTGCAGCAAGTAAACGCAGTAACGGAAACAACCTGTTTCCGGAAAAAGTGGCTTTCAGTTTAACGACGGGGAGTGAATAATCGGGGGCAATAAATGCAATTGGCTTTTTATTTAACAGCCCTCAGACATATGCGCCATAAAGTATTCATCAAACGAAAGAAGGAAACATTTATTTGATTAAAAGTGGGAGAAATAAAAGTAAAGACTAATTACCTGCATATTGTGCTACTTGAAATTATGTTTGACTTTTTTTGTATAAAATCACGAGAATCATATACGATTCATCCGGTGTTAAGTTCAAGGGAGTTTACGGTGCATCAATGCATGAAATACAAATTAATTTAACTTTTCAAGTGGGATTACAATTACTTTGGCACTTTGATTGACTAAGCAAAATCGCAGACAGTGCTAGTATCCTTTCAGGCTTCTCAAATGAGACAGCATATGCAAGAAAGAGGGTAGTCTAAATTATTTCAGCCAATGATACGACGTTGAAATGTGAAGAAGAAAGTAATAGGGAAGGATCTTATCCAGCATTTGGGAAGATCCCATGATGAGTTGGGTAGCTATTACAATAACGTGAAAAAAAACATGCCTGGAGAAGCAGCTAAGCATTAAACGCTATAAAGTCTCAATTTAAACAGGGCTTGGTTCTCATAAGAAAATGATCTAGAAAGAATCTTCCGCCATGGTTAAAGGAGGAAATTTACGTCTAAAAACGCCTAAAAATTGTGCCACTTAGCTAATACTCTGAAATGAACGGTATTAGTAATGATATTTAGCATAGAAATAATGATAGTCCTAAAGTAAACAATATAGCTGATACTTCGTGTATGGAACATTGATGGACTACCGCTCAACTGAAGAACGCAATGCCATACTTAAAAACATGTCAGACTAAACCTATTAAATGGAAAAGGAGCGGATCTTAGTAACACATACTCTAATTTCATAAAAGTGGCTTATTTCTTGGCCCATTTTTATTATTGTTAGCAATGATTGGCGAAATGCGTTTGTATTTTGCAAACTCGATAACACGAAATACGCCATAGTAACAGTTTCATCTTGGCCAAAGCCTCCATAGATTGGCCTATAAGCTTGGGGTAAAGGGTGAAAACAAATAGGAGTACTGAGACGCGACAAATCGCCCTCTTATCAAAATTACCAAACATTGCTTCAGAGGCATTTGGAAACTCCTTTCTGACCGACTAATTCAACGGATTCTGAGGAGTGTTTATAAATGCAAACAATGGAATTGACCGAGAAGCTTACATTTTTAAAATAACCATAGCGATCTTCGACTCGATGTAAACATTTTTCATTTCTAAAGTAATGGAGCTACACATTTATGAAAATAAATGCAAAACGGAAAATCTATCTCGCAGTGAATTGGTCTTTTATTTCTATCTTCGGCCCTTGGTTCGCAGCTTTCCCTTTTTTCTCCAGCGTGTTTCGCTTTAAAGCATAAGATGATGAGGCGAACATTATTAAGGTTTAAATACTGTGTTTTAATAAGAGCCATAATATCATTGCATGACAACTTTTTTCACAATTTCGGATGAAAACCTACGAAAAAGGACGGACACCTAAAGTAGAAAATTAGTCCAAAAATATGCGTAACACGACTATGAAATAAGAAATCGCGCTGGAAAAGTGGGAAATGAAATCCCATGCCATTCTGGCTTATCTATTGGGTAAAGCTGTTTTCAATTACGTTAGAAATTTAATTGATGCTACTATGGTACCATATTTCAAGTAGCTTTCAATCATGTTGGAAAACGAAAAATTTGTTTTCAAATTAGCTCGTCGTTAAAATAAATGCAAATCGGCCTTAACGTACAAGGATTATAAGTGTGTATTTACATCCATTTGATTCTATTTAACTCATCTATCTAGGCAGTTAATAAGAGTAAAATATGCATTTATCCAGTTGTGATGGATAGAGCAATCACACTTACCTATGGCGTCCCATTTGTTCTGATAGCCCAGGCGCTCAAGAAGAATGATTTCATAGAGACGTTGACTGAGGCCCCTTTTGAGGTTCCCCACAAACAAAGAGACGCCCTGACCATAAGGATCCTTCACGGAGCGAATGTAAAAGCGAGTCAGGCGCAGGGCCCGGACGGACTCCAGTCGGACGTTATCAATTATCTCCCAAGGACGGTCGTTCGGATGAAGCACTCGCTCAACCAATCCACGGTCCACAACCGTCTCCACCAAGTTAAACTTATTAGCGTCCAGATACTGCGAGGCATAGATTAATAAAGGATCTGATTCGAAGCGCAAAAACTTTGCTATATGTCTTCCATGGGTAATAATCCCGATAAATGTGATAGAATGAATAAAGTGAAAAGATATTTGAAAAGCATTTTAAATATTCGGGCCCAAAACGATGCTCAAAAAGTGTTATTACTGCGTCCATTTAAGAGCTGAATTAGTCTTAGGCGTTCTATCAGCACTTTTAAAACAATGAGAGATGACTCACGCCAACGCCTAACCGATGGAGCGAAAGGACAAGCACATCGTGAGCTGAAGTTGTCGGTGTTATGGAGACCTGGATTGAGGGTACACTTATGTCAGCGTAGTCGCTACACGGCAAAAAGTATATTCGATGAGCAGCTATACACACAGACTAATGTGAAGAGCCATATTAGAGAGACCTTACACTAGTGATCCAGGATAGACATTGATATAATCGCGATTCTCCTCCCGCTCGACATATCGAAGGATGATCTGAGGTCGCCGGGTCTCAAATTGAAGCTGGCGCTTGAATGGAGTGTTCGAGTCTAACGGATGCTCGCTGCCATCTTCAATCGAATAGTAACAAATATAGTCATCTTTGAAGTCGCATCATTCATCACCACAAACTTTTGAAAGCTTATTTACTAGGTAAAACATTATTCAAACTCTCAGGCTTAGTAATTACCTCGCTCATTAATTTCAACTAAATAGAAATCCTTTTCTTCATCAGGAGGAAGTTGGAATGCCTTGAGAGATAGTTCAATCACTTTTCGAACAGAAACATTTTTTCCCAATGAGAGGTACCGACACTGATGTCGCCTGTAGCGGTCCATGCCATCGTACACGCGGACATAATCTACACAATAGAAGGGTGCACATTCAGATGCCTACTAGAAAATTATTCAGTAGAAAGGGTAAGAAGACCGAAACTAAATCAAGCATACCATCAAAGTCGCGATCGGATTTGTCACGATTCGTTCGACGCTCGAAGCCAGATTCCTCCAAGCTCTCACCACTACTGGTGAACTCATCCATCAGAGCCGGAACTAAAGGAAACGAACCTTAGGCTTAACGTCAGAAGTTCTCGACTGTGTGGCTCAGGTCAGCTGCTTGAGACAACAACGGCTATGGAACCGGATTCGATTAAGTTCCGAAAATATGCATAACGGAACACAAAAAATAGTTACGATACTGCATTTGTATAAGGTACATAAAGAACAAACTCGATTAGTTGTTTAACAAAAAAGTTGAATGAAAGGAATTTCACTTTGATTAATATCTTAAGTTAAAATTAGCAAATCATAATGACCCTTTGCATTCCTGTTATTCAAGAGGAACAGACTTGCATGCACACTAGTTCTATGAACTAACAATTCCAGATAATGACGTGGTTGATTTATGCGGGCGTGCATTTGTAACCTACGGCCAGGAAAGAAGTCCGGTTGGGGTTTGGGCAGACCAATAATGTGTTCCATGAGAAGACTGGTTCTGGGAATGGAGACAGCCTGCGGAGGCAGCATGATATCCCTCAGAGACCCGTAGTCGCATTCCATGGGGAGGTTTCGAAAGCACGTGTAGTGCACCTATTTAATGAATAAAAACCGGATTCAATAGTCCCATTTCGCTCCAAATCACACAACATTTCTGCCTAGAAAAGCAGAAATCGAAACTAGTAGATCCATTCTAACAGAGTACTTTTCATTCAATTGAAGATATCAAAAGTAGCGATTTTTGCATACAACACGTCAGGAGGGGGTTGGTGAACTCACACATACATTATGTCAATAAAGATTTAATTATTTTCATCATTTAATATATCTCCGCCTAGAAACATAAATATCAACTACCAAATAAAATGCGATGGGATACTTTTAAGCCATTTATATTGCGGAGTGGTGAAATTTTTTGTCAGAAAAAGGAGAGGACGATTGCACTCACTGTTACGCCGCACCACTCGCAGCGCATGCCAGTCAGGCACTCGGCGGACCAACAGGTTTTCTTGCAGCTGCTGCACTTTGAGTTGGCAGGCAGATTGCCCTCGCGCCAGTGATGTACGGGTACATCAGTTTGGGGTGTAATGGTGAATGGAAGAGGCGGGGGTGCCTGAGGGGAGACGGGACTCGGAGGCAGGTTAGTCGGAGCGCTCACCCCGCTTACGCCGGTCTGGGGGAAGGGTGAGGAGGAGGCCGATGTGGTGGTTGCGGTAGCAGTGGAGCTTGAAGCGAGTGTTCCACCCGAATTCACCGAGCTTGAAGTGGCGGCAGTGGCAGTGGTGACGGCAGCTGCTTGGATCGCTGCAGAGCGCATTGCATAGGCGGCAAATGCGGCCATTCCTCCAGTCCAGGGACGTGGGGGAACGGACTCAGTATCACTAATGCCAGTAGCGCCACCACCACAACCACTGCTGCTGCCAGGCGTACTGGCCATACCAAGGGCCGAGTGCAACTCGGGAATGTCCGCGATGTTGGAGAATGGTAAGCCCAACGATGCTAGAACACTCGGCTTGCGAAGGAGGGTTGGCGATTTCTGTAAAGATTCGCAAGACTTAAGCTGTGTAAATTCTGCATGTGTGAATATTGAGACAACATATCCAACCTTTTGCGTTGATGTATGTGGACCAAAAGAATAATCAAGAAATTATCGGTAGGATTATACTCAATGTGTAATGCCTCTTGTCTCAAGGGCATAGGCATGCCTCAAGACACACCCGAGGCGATAGAGCGCTTATGGAATGAGTTCATGATCAGTATAAAAGAGGACCTTCGTGGCTTTGGGCTGTTACAAAGTTGGTAATGTTGGTTTGTTGTTCCGGCCGGGAAGAATAAAAAAAAGAACGCATCCAGAGTGGGTTTCGTAACATCACCAAAATAGTAATACTCACGTAGGTCGAACGTACAAGCTTGTGCACGCACATACATCATTCACTGAGATCCCCAGTGAAACAGTAGTCAACCGATTTCATTTATTAGAAATGAAATGAACAATCCAGCGATGAGGCCTTTGCTTTATTTAAATTGAAGTAAAGATATGGCTGTAGTTTGCTTAAGAGATTGATTTAGATATTATTAGTACGTGGAAGTGGCAAATATCCACGCTCCAAACAAGACATGCTTAACAAGTGGGATAAATTGAATATAAAATATACTTTTTGAGAAATAAGGTCAGAGGTACTAAGTTATCATTTATAAATCGAAATCCGGGGCTTCAAAGTCCAAATGACTTGTAGTCAAAATAAAGCATATATTTGCAACAGGAAAGTGAATGGTACCCATGGTCAGAGGCACTTTCAACAGCTCCTAAAGTGACCCAACTCATCAAATATCTGAACTCACTTAATATTGCATTTGTAGCCACATTTTTGGGCATAGGAAACTATGAAAAATGACACAATACAAACCTGTCGATAACATTGAAACTTAGATAAAACTCTTACGCAAAACGCAACACAATTAAAACGAGATTAAAAATTTAATAGCACTCAAAAGCGAGAACTTTGTCGTGCATTTTACAGTCCACAGTTCAATAGTAATCCTTTCCGGAGCATTTAATAATTTGAAAAGTTGTGATTTCGTCAATTACCACTGTGAGGAGAGCTGTCGAAACCATCTCGGGATAAGAATAGCTCCAACTGATAACCAAACAGCGCCAACAGTTAGACAATATTTTCTTTAATAGAAGTGTTTATACAAGGTTGGCCTGAATTCATTAGATTACATCGGGTCAAGAAAAGACGTAATACATTCCTGTTGAAACTACTTTCTATTCAAATAATTGTTGATGTATTCGCAGATGCCTACAATAAAAACCTTGGGAAAAAAACGATTCTTCATACTTTAGAACCTACGTCCCCTTTTTCCCACAATTCTTCTTTTTAGCAAAGGATCACAACGACAAGTTGGAATACCCAAAGGTGGCATCGATACCGGGTGTTCATGAGGTACGAGTGACTACAGAATCATTGGGATTTTCTGTCTTGGACGCCGAGGAAACCCTATTTATCAACTACTGAGTCAGGAGCTACAGTCATTAGCTGCTTCAGCTAGACCAGAGGAATGAAAATGCAGCAGGCTTTGACTAGGATCTTAGAGAGTGGTCCACTCTTAGCATATGACTGAGGAATCACGGAGATAGAATATTGGAAAGATAACAATATAGAGCAGGTTATACTAAGTGTGCACTCAAATGTGAGGCTCCTAAATCGGAAAGATGAGAGCAGTATGCTTTCGCAACAACCTTACACCCGTAAAAGGCATGAATCTAATTTCAATCTGCTCCCAACAATTTATTTCTTGCTTCATCATTACATCGCAATCACAGAGTAGTAACAAAACAATCAGCAGAAAGACGGCTTTAGTGCAATTAGTTGAACTACTCGATGATGAGGGATTACAGTAAGATGGCTGATATTGCAAAGGGTAAAAAACGAGAACGCACTTCGCGATCCTTGGAGGGAGTTGAGATGGAGCAAACTTTGCAATCTGCTGAGACGAATTCCAAGCATTCGTAGTGGGTGTAGTACTCACAGACTACAAAAAAAATTAAGTGGGGATAAAGGAAAACGAGTCAAAACAGCAACTATTAAAAGGCGGTAAAACTCACAGAGTGGAACACAAAAGTACATCAACAGAATCGCCACCAAAAACCTGAAAATTGGCTGAAACCGCTTGAAATCACATCTGAACTTGCATTATAAGGTATTGGAGTGCCATGAACATTGAATGTCATTTTGGAGTGGTCAAAATCTACAGGAACCCTTTTATATAATGCGACCGCTTACAATTTCTGTGAAGTGAAGAAATTGTCTGTAAGGGTTCAAACCTGATGATTCATGTAACGGAAACAGTACAGTCATGATACAGCTTCCTCGACAGGTTTGATTGGTTGAAGCAAATGAGCTACTGCATAGGAAAAACCGAAGAAATAATGGACTGTCCATTTTGGTAACAAATGAGAGGGGGGTACAAACGGGCCGTATCAAAGTTGAGCATTTTTAATGAACTGAGAGTTGTGCATTCGTATTACACCGATCGATCACGTGGGACAATAAAATCATACAAGTGCCATACGCGCACACACACACACACACGAGTGCATACATACGCGTACGCTACGCGGCGTGAACAAGTATGAGCCAAGCGGGAACTTATCCCCCCGACAATTGACGCTGAAGAGTGCGCACCTGCATGCGCGTGCAAATTCCTCCACATTCACGCACGCACCGACACGCAAACGCATGCGCACGTACGCACGGACTCGTGCCATCATCATCATCGTCGTCGTTGAGCCGTCTCTTGCAAGCGCGCGTGAACGCGGATAGGAGCGAAAAAGTCGATAACGGCACGTGCGCGCACGGACGTGAAGGGGAGTAGATGAGAGCTGTGAATGAGCTAACAGGAGACGCGCGCGCCACTCACGCGTTCTCACCACTTGGACTATTTAGCGTGCTCACCACTACTGTGCATGTTCTACGCACTCCCACTCTCTGCACCCCGTGCGCACGTCAGTCGGTCGGTCCGTCGGCGGATGGCGACGGTGGTGATAATGCTGCTGCTGGTGGCGCTTGGGCTGGGTGAGGGAGAGAATGGCAGTAGGGCTCGACCGCTCGATAAGCACACACAAGGCTGTAGATATTTATGCTTCGGGGAGAAATAGGAGTGAATAGAAGACCAATCTCTCCCTACCGCACCGCACACAAGCACGCAGACACACCAATGCTGTTAGCTTCCTGTGCAAGAAGGGGTCAAACAATTACGAAAAGATGTGAATAATTGTGCCCTACTTGGTTCATTCGGAAAAGTAAATGCTGATTCGGTGACAAGTGGGGGTGGCTTCAAATGAAGTTTCAATTGTTGCCCGGATTTGTGCTCAGTGAAAAGGACACAGATATGAGGTAATGGAAAACACAGGACACGGGATGTAATCCAACAGAGCATATGAAATGCCGTGAAGTACCAGATTTGTAAATGAGAAGAGCATTATCTTGAGCATTAAGTGCACCTGTGGATGTTTCACTTAATCTTTACAGCAATATATCCATGTGTTCTCATAAAGTAGAAGAGCAGTACCTGAACCGACCAAATAATAGCTCTGCCTCCACACGATTGGTGCGAAGATGACCAAGCATGTGATGAAATGAAAGACCAATGTCAGTGCAACAGGCCAAGTGATTCATGTTCGAAATTCTGAACAGGCCGGGATCGAGGTTCCGTTTTTCTCCCTATTTCCCCCTTTCAGACACTTCAGTTAGCGTCTAGAGACTAAAACTTGCTTCCTATCGACGCCTGAGCTGGGTGGCCGTATGGTGCAACATTCCTTACCTCTCACTCGTTTAAACTCTGGTTCAACGCTTTCACCATTCCATTCGGAGGCAAAGATGGATTTGAGCCAATTAGGATGTTTCCGTATGAAAGACGGTTTTCAATAATAAGTTTGCAGACTTTGAGGGATGAACTAGCGTAAGACCACCATTTAAGCAAAGAATATAGCGGTTTAACAAAAAAGATCTCAACGAGAAAGTTGTACATTGGTTAAATTACGAAAGAGGACTCCATATTACGGGTAAACACGCAGTGCCACTGTGATTTTTCAAATTCGGTTTCATCCCGTACGAACTGGTTAGGAGGCGGTAACAGTGGTTAGACTAATGGGTCAATCGAACGAATAATGAAAAAAGAGGCAACCAGGCCTAGCGACACGAAGGATTATTTGTCTAGGTAACGAAGGCAGTCGAAATACTGGTGCATCTGATGAAAAGACATTACTGATGGGTGGCCTTACGACAGATTGTAGTCCAGGCCAGGCCGAAGATTTGAACCGCAAAAAAGAAAATACTCCTGCCTCTAAAATGAAACCTACTCAGGTTTTAGACGAACAATTTGATGACACTCCTTTAGGTAACGTTAGAGCATGGTTGATTACTGAAAGCAAGTAGGAGCTAGCAATACAATCGAATGGATGGATCTAATGCCAAGATTTAGGAATGCAATAAAAAGGAGCGTAGAAGAACAATGAATTGTGGTACTTACTCTCGCATCTGACAGACAGCAAGTCATCCAATCGTTTTCGACAGACGTTGCAGAATTTCCGTTTAAAATGACCAACATCTGACCAGCAATGGGCCATGGGATCCTGAAAGCATTTAAAATAAATGACAGACTATACGGGTAGGGCAAGAACACCAGTATGTCTGATGCTAGACCTAAAACCTCTCCTCAACAATAAGTTTGGAGACTGCAGTAAGCCCTATTCTCAGGTAAAAAAATTAAGTTGTTCTAGCAAGGCTGGAAATCAAATCTCGAGGAAATAATTGTATATACAGCCATTTAGCCCCGCGCCACACCTTCCTCGACCATAAACTGCTTTACGAGTAGAAAATAAACTAAAGTTGAGGGAACAAAGAATCCCAGAGCTCGATACGGCGTCTTCTCAAATCTAAGATAGTGTTTATCATTCACAGTTTATACCTTGTCGTGAAGTCTTATTAAGACTTAACAGTTTTACAGTCTTCCTAAAGGCTTACGAATTATTTGTTCGGCAACTTCGATAAAGCCTCTCCCAATGATACTCAGGGAAGTCCAAATAAGTAGGTTTTAGGGGAAACAGAGTTGACCATTCAAGTTCAAACACGGAGAGGAAACCCTCTCCTTTCATATAAAAATTAATACCCGAATTTGGCTCTGATAGAGAACTACTGCCTCTTACAATTAAAAATACTAGTTAGCGTACCAGCATCGTACTTGGAATTCGTTGCGAAATCTCTATCAACGCCGTTCACCACTTATCCGGAACAAAACCAATCTGACAATAGTCAGAATGGTTCAGAGCATCATTACCTTGAAATGTTAAGCCTTGAAACAATGCAATAAAGTGGCAAAGTAGTGAAGCATACCTGAATTAAAAATGGGATTATGCAGGTACAGGGGGAGACAACTTGACGGATGCATTTCTCGTGCGCAAGAAAATTGCAGACTGTAAATAGAAAACAAATACATGCGGTGTTCCCCTTATCCATGAAGGGTCAAGAGAAAATTCATCTTAAAGGATTGAATAACTTCTTACTCAACTTCCCTTCGAAGAAGAACCCCGAAGTAAAGTGAGATTTCAGTTTCGCAAATTCTGTCCGATGCTTTGAGTATGATTTACATATGCAGAATTTGACTTCTAGACAAGTAAAACTTCGCAAAATGCCTCAAACATGCGGGTTGAGAATAGAGCAAACGCCTGAGAGTAACAAAAATCAGTATAATCGGACTTGTCGCCAAGGCGTATGCTTACTGGCACATTCCCTAACAAGGGTGTCCGCTCAAGAAGCGTCAAGTTTTATTCGATCCCTTCATTGACTACCACCGTCATTTCAAACTCACAAGCATTAAATCATTGGATTAATTTATTCTTAGGGTAAAAAAGTAAAGTCACCCACCATCTTGCTGAATCGTGATTGCATTGTTTATTGCAATATTTCAAATGGAATATAAACCAATTAAGAATCGTAGCAGAAAACGCATAGAGGCACAAATAGATATAAGGAAAATATTAATGTCATGCCTTCGTTAAAGCCATGGTTAGTGAAAATGCTCTGGCCACAGATAAGGCCACGGTGGCATATCTACATTTTAACCCACTTTACTAGCCGGCAGTAGTAATAAAATCTCTAAAGACGTGAACTTATTACTCCTAAGAGAAAAGAGGAGAAGGCCAAACGTGAACAATCCCAATTTTGGGAGTTATAAGGGTAATAAAAACTTTAGGGTCTACAGAATCTCACTAAAATTGCTGCTAGTAATCTAGATGGCGGCGCTTCTCCCAAAACACATCGCATAGAATGCATATGCACTAGCACAAGTATTCAAATAATTTCCGCCCCAAATGTAATCCTGCTTTGGCATTATTAAGTCTAAGTCCAGCAGCAGCGTTCCAACTGAAAGAGAGCAAAATCCATGAGTAGGTTGTTCGAAAAGGCACTTACTGTTCAATGGCTGACTTTTATTTACTAGCACAAATCAAAACAGAAGCTCTGCTCTGTAGAATTTGTCGATTTTGATCGTGCAGTGTTCACAATGAGTAAATTTGCTCGAAGAGTAGTAGATAGTTATGGGAATTAAGCAATGTTTCGTTAAAAGCCAAAAATTGTGGACAAGTGGATACTACGTTGAGAAACAACAATCAAGGAACTTTAGTCGGAAAAATGCGCTAACGCTATAATGCATTAAGGCACAGTGGGGTTAAAATGTTGGAAGGACACTACTCGGTTAAGCTAGATTGGCACCAACTGACAGCTAGAACAACTCACTTTCGCATATCATCCCAGTGGTTCCAAGTATGCCCCAAAGGAGATCACAGCAATGATGGCAAGTTGCAGGTTTGTGAAGATTCTTTTTGATAAATGCATGACCTTGGAACCACCCTTTAACGGCTGTGCCGACCCTAAAGCAGAATATGTAGCAAAATGCTTCACTGGCTCGCAAATGTGGGGTCACGAGCCTCAAAGAATGCAGTAAGCAATAAAATGTGATTACCTACTAAATAATACCCCAGTCTAGTAACCTGACTTAAGGGATGGTATATGCAGCTGCAAGATTGAGAATGATGACTGAATGATAAAGCGCGGAAGTGGCCATCTCAGTGATGTCATTATCAAAAATAGACGTTTTTCACAAGGGTTAGCATAACAAAATGTAATTTGGTAAAAAGGCAGTAACCAAGCCATTTCCGTAATCCACTAAGCAAAATGGTATTTCAAGCAAAAAAGACGCTAAGCAGAAAACAGAAACACCAAACTCACTACAGGCCACCAACCGGGCATTCACATGGCACAAAGTATCCGATTTTAAGTCTGCTTAAAGGCACCTGACATCCATCTGGCACTCCCATAATACACGCTAATCAAACCAGGAGAACTTCGGGTACAATTATAAAATGGAATTTAAGTGGGTTTCAGGTACAAGTGCGGTTACGTATGACTCACCTTGGACTCGATGACTGAGTATCCGTATCGGTGGTACTCTCCACGTCCAGGGAAGTAATAGTCTCAGTTGGCTTCGATGCAAAGGGTTCATCCATCTCAGGAAGGGTTCGGCACACGTCTACTCAGATAATAAGCATTGGTTTGACCTCGGAAATTTTGATTGAATTGAGCCTATGAGATAAAAAGATAATGCTAAATGCATAAATGCTAACGTCAATACTTAAAGCGGGCACTTTAGCTATTTCCAGGATCACTTGCGGCCTAATAAGATACTTGTACCGGGAATGGATATGTAAAAGCGTACTCTGCTGCTAAGTTACGTCATTTTAAAACGGCAAAACCATAATCATCTTTCAGTCGTAAAAGAGAAAACATTTTGCCTTAGTAAAGTTAGAGCAGGTGGACCAAAATGTGACCATCCCATAACAAGATGGTTTTTTCTAAAGACAGTTATTTGACCGGCTAATAAAATAACAAGTCAAACTCAACAGCGGTGCGACCAAAAGTTAACATAACGATAGAAATGGAAACGTGGGGGTATAACTTGCCAAAAAACATACAGAGTCTAGTGGCAAGACAATTCACTTCAACCATGTTTTATCTAATTTAATAAAGTGAGAACAGAATATAACCACAAAAGTTAGGCTAGATAGAAAACAAAACAAAGTCCCGACAGAAAATCACAAAAACTGCATGATAAACAGGAGAATGGATGTGAAGTCAGACAACAACTAGAAATAGACATGAACAGGACAATTTTGCCTATATCATTAGAAGCATAAGTGATAGAGGCTAAAAGACATCTGCTCCACAAAAAAAGGTTCCACAGAATAAAGCATTAGAGATTTTACATAATTTAGGTGGCAAACTACTGTAAAATATGTTTCAGCTATGTCAGAAATGAGAAAGAAAACGATAGAGGTTAAAACACTCCACCGCACATGCAATACTAACAAAGCAGTTCCACTGGACCAAATTTATTACGTATACTATGGGGCACAAAAACATCAGCATAAAAAGGGAGTTATTTCAAGAAAAAGGCACCTAAAAAGAAGCAACTACGTACTAGAAATAGGAGCATGACGCTAACTCAGAAAAGAATATGTACTCCAAAAAATAAAAAACACCGGAGTTTGTGCAAATAGACATCCACAAACTGCCAGCATAATGAAGTCACCTACCTCGATATTCCCAAAATAACACAAACCACCGTCATCGAACAAAAATCGGCCCGAACGACTTAGCCGCTTCCATCATTGATTGAAAATGAATCATTTAAACAAAATGTAAAATTTAGGAATGCACCTGTTCTAGAGGTCTAATAAGTGCACAATATAGATTAGCAAACAGAAACTGTTTTTAGCTTGGGTAAGACCGTATGAGGTTTCGTGTGAGTATTTCTCGTGAATTTGCACTTGTTGTATATCTTGAACTTGTGTCACTGTGTACACCCCAACTATCTGCATTTTGCAATGCGCAGTCCCAGTACCGGACCGTCAAAGACAACTAAGCAATTAGTTTGGTAACCCAACCAAGTAACTCACCAAGTAATACCGCCACAGGAAACCTCCCCACGCGTAAGGCAACCCCCAAGTGACCCTCCCACCCCAGAGCAACTATCACGAATCAACCGAGGGCCCAACACCCGGAACACAAATTAAGACCCGAGCTCATGGACCCAGCTATCCGCCCGGGCACCTAACCAGTGGCCACGGTGGCGGAGACCCCACCCCATCCATCGTCCCGCACCCTCTAACTATTACACGGCTCAGCAGCTCCTTCCACTGCGATTAAACGTCACACATCCTTTGCCGGCGAGTTTCAACGTCAGCTTCGGGGTTAGGTTCATTTGTATGCAATTCGTCAATAAACACTTTAATACTTTCCAGGTTTTGATTGATGGAACCGATGAAGAGCCCCAAAAAGGGAAGTAATGGCTCCCCAGAGGGCTTGAATATAGGATCCATAAACGATTATCAGCCTCGAATTTCTTACTAAAAGTGTCTACCTTATGCTATGAGAGAAGGTAATATCAAGGTATAGTGAAGCGTTACTCGCCAACTGCGTTAACCGCTTGGCGATATGTTTCCATGATCGGCTTTGCTAGATCCTCGGCACCAGCAAGGTTTATCACACCCACGCAGCTCACAGCAGCGCCCTTATGACATAAGCGCTGCAAGTAACGTCGTTTAAAAGCCAGCATCACTGGACATCCACGTTCGCGGGCCATGTCAACGGTTTGTTTGAGTGTCTTGGCCAAGGCGTTCGACTTTTTCGGCAGATCGACCGCTCCCTCTGTTTGATTCGATCCCTCCTCCTCTGAAGAAAAGGCTTCATAAGTGTGCCCAATACACAGTGCATTACCTCTTAAAATCCTATTCAATGAGTGTTTCAGTATGTAATGATTGAATTAAGTATTCAAAGCTATTGGGTTGCATTCAAAAACATTGTAAGGCTATGTGAACCAATTTACCTATTTCATAGGCGCCTTTTTCAAGATCTTTGGCAATAATAAGGAATTTGAGTTTGTCCAGCTTGAGGCTTTTGATAACCTCATGAAAGCCGCAGACAATGCGACGAGTGTTCTTTCGCTTCGCAGGCGCCTCCGCTGTCTGTTTGTAGGCCCGATCATGAAATTCCGCCAGTTTTTTTAACATCTCCTCCACGGGTGCCTCCAAGTCTGGCATACTTGGCAAAACTATCTTCTGGAATGCACAAGTAAATCGGGGTAATTACGATGTAGGACATCAATGATGGCATATGTTGGAAAAAATTGTAAGCTTTATCCGAAAAGGCCTTCTTTTATATTGACAACTCATTTGAAGAGATAGAAAGCCCTACTCGGATGAGCGGTGTAGATTACTGGATGGGGACATATATGACTATTTATTACTTACTCATTCACTTATCTTAAATGCATAATGAAGACCTGATAATCAAATAGGTTGTCATTATTTTCATAAGATTTCACTGGTGTATTGAAAAATGCCAGTCGAAATTGATAAAATTCTAATACGAGCTTAAAGTCAGGGATGCAGCGAAATGGCGTTAGAACACAAAAAATAACAGCAATACTTCTAGTACTATAAGTATGGTTCCGTTACGCAGCTAGAAGTTTTGTGGATTTTTAATGAGAAAAATCTGGCGAAACTTGTGCGTAATTTCTAGCCTAGATACATACAACGCATCATGGTCGGCATTTTAAAATAAACAACTTGTTATGGGTTTGCCACCACACAATTTTGTAGGTGTAACTGAAAGCGAGTTGCACTTTTTCTTCAGCAAAGAAGGTATTTTACCTTTCATCCCAGTCTTTTTATCCGACATCAAAAACGCTTTTCTGCTTTAGGGTCAAACTGAAGAAAACAGTCTTCATCACACCCTCAGTTGATACTGCTTTCTACGTGACAGAGCCTAACGACAGATGTTTGAACTGCAGTGAAAGTGGACTCCACACGTCCCATTTTAAAAATGTGGAAGCTGATAGAATCAACTGCGTTATGGTAAAAAAATTAACCGAAATTGGACAAACAAAACAGAGCAAATATTTTAGTCTATTCAGAGTGCTAATATGCGATAAAGCAATATTACTAGAAATCATATAAAAAATACAATGTTTTCTTAAAATGAAAAGGGCGCTTCAAAGTTGATGCGGTTAAGCACTACGAATCAGGTAGGTGTAAACTAACCACAACATTGCGTGTGGCCTCGGCGAGAATGAATTTCTCCTCACACGGGTGTGTCATTTGTCCCACCATACCCCTGACGAGACGATCGCGGAGGATGCCAGCCTTGAGATGAGAGTAATGTTTCCTCCTAGGCGTCAAGCGCTCCTGGCCACGGCGCCTAGGCGCGGTGCTCTGAGCCAGAAGGCTCCGGTAGCGAAAGAGCATTCGCTCCTTCATAAGGTCGGTGAGATAACCCCCGCGCCGCGGATTACGCTGCGCTCGCAACGCCTTCCTTCGCATCCGTGGATGCGAGGCGGTGCTAGCGATGGTGGCAGCAGCGGTTGGAAGCGGCTCGGTGCGTTTGAGCACACGCACCTCCGATATTTTGAGATTTGGTGGTGCGGATGCTACGGCAGCCCACGAAGTCGGATCTCCCATCCTGCCAGAACAGTCACAAGTACATTTGTGTTCAAAAAAAGACAATGTTCAGGGTTCCTTTAAAAATGATTATACAGGGACCTAGGAAATATTATTCGCAAAATGGAATTCGTTTGAACAGTAGTCAAATATTGTAGGACAAACGATAGGAAGAAAAGAACTTTGGACATGAGGCGGTATTGAGGGCAATCCAAGTTATTTAATCACACAATGAATTACCGTGGGGAAGGAGATTCCAGTTTAGTCGTTTTTAGGCACTTTGGTCTCGTGAAAGTGGTATTAGCTTTGGTTTGAGGCGGATCTTGAGGCGAATCCAACTTAGCCTTGCGATTGTTCTTGCTGCGTTTGGACTCCAAGTTCCTAAGAAGACAAAAGCACTCAAAACCCAAGTTTGGTAAAAAGTACAAGGGTTTGTGTACTATAAATACTTAGAAAAGATAATGGTATTGATTTTAAGGTCCAATGATGCCAGAAGGACAAATTTACTGGTACTTTAAGTTATTAATAGATAGACCTAAATGTACACAGTATTGTCTTCGCATTTTAAGCAGCTGCAAAACCATATCAAACTGTATTAGCAAACTGAAAACTCGTTGGTCAATATTTAATAAACAGAAAGGTACTATTGATTAATGAAGCGAAGATGAAAGCATCACTTACGAGTGTGTACCAGCAACAACCTCTAAGCGCGGTTCGAAAGAAGACGTGGATGATTCCGGACCTCCTAAATGAAGACGCTGACAGAGATGATCGGTGATGTTATCAATGCATCTTTGTTCATTACAGGTCTCATTAACTCGCCTCACTAAATCAGGGTGTTTAATGCGTTCTCGCGATAGTGTCGTTTCCCTAGTCGGAGTGGAATCATTTTCCGATTCTGAGGTTTTTACTCCGTACGGATGGCTTTCTGAGGATTCCACATCAGCCATGCCTGTGGAGGTAAATGAAGATCTGCATCCAACGCCATGCCTTCGAGGAAATGACGTAGAGGAGGGTGACGGAGAAGCACCAGGTTGGGATACATGAGGAGTGCGTGTCTTAGGATCCAAAATTAGCAGCGCGTCTGACTCTCTCGATTCTGGTTTAGTCATGTGGGTTCTATTCTTCTTTTCATCATTTACGTGATTCGCGCGAAGTTGTTCGAGCTTCGAAGCTTGAGCAGTAGCCACACGTCGTTCTATCCTCTGAGTTTGAAGAGACGAGGGCATAATAGGAGCCGAGTTGTTCATTTGAACATCACTAAATACGAAGGGAAGATAGCATTCCGCGGCATGCAAGGGATAAGCGGTGGGTTGCAGATACCAGTTTGGATGGTTACAGATGAAAGGCTGGCCGGAAATCTGGGTTGTCAGGACATATTGTTGGGGTGGTAACGAAGGACAATGAGGATTCTCGTGTGGGAAATCCATCTAAACATGAAAATTTGAAGGCATATATCATTAATTAACTATAAAAAGGCAGGTGTACGAGCTATTACCAACTACCTCCCAAGTACTGCTATTTTCAACTTTGCAGTCCAATACAGGATAGCTACACGATCGAGCGTTGTCGGATACTTGTATCAATTCAAAACGGACGCGAAGTCCCCCAACAGCAATATTCGCGTAGAAAACGAGGAAACGCACAACAAACACGGCGCGGCCAAATTCCCTAACCCCTTTAGTTTATTGTTTACTGGCCAATCGCATGCTAATTTTAAGGTTATTCACGTGGCGGTGAAGTGCAAGTAACAATATTTCAGAATATTTGCTGTTTGTTTCAGTTAAGAATGATACTACTCAGTAAACCCATTTCAATATTAATTTTACAACCAATGTTGTCATTGCAAACTTCTTTTGCATTTTTAGAGAACAAAAAGCATGATGGGTAATCTTCTTGAACAATCTAGATCTCATTTCGGCTCATTGGAGTGTTTCAAGCCTGTCATTGAAATATAAATACAGGATGTTACATTCCACAGGCTTAAACCGACTTAAATTAGCTTCGTTCCCATCCAATCTACAGCTGTGTTATGCGCGCAGAAAGCATACGTGGCTCTCTAAGCCTTCATTGAAGTTTTAACAAGTTAACGTCACATGGTCTAGCTGAAAGAATACCATATTGACCCGGAGGTTGGTCCGTAGAGCGAAAGAACAATCTACGAAGACTCAAGCGGCCGTGTCTCCTCTTTTAAGCGCCTCTCGCCAGTCAGCACAACGCAGCCAGCGCTTTAGAAACCATCTACGAACCAGGAATACCAACCGCGTACTTGGTATTCTCGTAGAGGTTTCGTAGGTAGCTTCATAATAGGTTCTTCCGAATGGTCCAATTCTGGTGCTACTTCAGCTGTTAACAGCTTTCGTGTAGAACAAGAAATTCAGCTGAATGCCAAACGTAAATAGTGCCGACTTTCACATATTTAGCATCCATGGCATCTTAAGCTTCTGTGCGGTCAAAGTTTTACACTCAGACATGGGAACCATGAAAAATACCTTTTCGATCAGGTTTACTTACTGCTGCCATTAATGCAGCGCCTTAAATCTTTGCCGAAGTCGTGATAAATTTAACTGACATGAAAGAAAACATATTGCTAGCGCACCGAAAAAGTTGGGACAACACTAGCATGGTTCGAAGACCACGTTGCAGAGCAGAAGCACGACCTGCAGAGACAAATGCGTCCGCATGAACACAGCGTGCTTAAACACTACAATTCTTAACCAATTTTCCGACGTGCCCTTGCCTGCCATGGATAATACTCAAGTCTTTGCGCTTAATGGTACACCGTTTGACATACTCTCAACACGACCAAACTACAGGAAGGCATACAGGATTACCCAACCGCCTGGGCTTTTAAGTATTTTTGGGCCTTTCGAGGCATGAAATAAGAAACCGGACTCTCAGGAAACTTTTGTTTCTTCAAATTACATCAGGCACCCATACGCGCGTGAACACCACTAGACGCCGTCCAGTGATCCGTGATCGAAGGCACCGACGAAGAGTATTCGAAGGGCCACAGCCCCAAACCGACCCAGGCAAACACTGTGCCCACCTATCGCTCCTGACTTCAAGAGGACCCGGAGTCTACACGATCATCCCGATGCTGCAGACGACTAGAGTTGGCGGAGTGAAAAACAGAAAAGTCGTAGCATAAATTGCAGCTACAGACAACACACATGCGAATACATTCGGAATTCAACACCATCGCAGTTACCCCTCGGTGCCGAAACAAATCACTCATGTAATTTGTGAGAAAAAGCCGCATCTGCTTGCGTACTTTTACCGCGGAATAATCAGACCATTGAGATTAAAAGTCCCAATCACTCGCATTTGTACGGGACATCACGAAGTGTATATAACGTTCTAATCGCACGGGCTACTAAACAATGATAAGAATCCACTTTAAAACAAGCATTATTTTCGCACAGTCCAGCGAGCGAAGTTTTCACATAAAAACAAATTAGAAATCGTATATTACATGTCCGGAAATGCACATGAGCATTAACACTCGGCAAAGTAATCCGACTTAGAGGTAAAAATCTACAACTTCCCGGAAGGCAGCATAAACGGGAGTTATTTTGCATTTTTTTTCTGCTCATACCGCCGAGCCACTTCCGTCACTTCGAATTACAAAAAGTAATCCGGAACGGGCTTGCGTGCAGGAAAATTGCGGTTGTTCTACAAGTAAAAAATGCCGATTAATGCAAGTGTCTCAAATCCGATCAGGTTAAACTCGAACAGGTCCTCGAAAAGCGTTCCGCGCACCTGAGAAGCAGCTTCAAAAAAAGCGAAGTCCCTGTTCAGGTATTCGTCAAGGCGGAGAATAGCAGCCACGTTACCACAACGATAACAGTAGTTTGGCGCTGACCATATTGTAAGCACAGTTTCATTGAAGTGATAACGCCGGCCTTCCATCACAAGTTGATGGGCACGACAAATCAGATCGAGCTTATTTACCTTTAAGAATTCACATATATTGCAGCACGGGGACGACGAAATATCAGCAATTGACGCAAAAAAAAAAACATTTAAAACAGGTTTACAAATTAATTATCAATTTCACGAAGCCGTAATCTCACATGGTTAAACTGCTGAACAGTATCAGCTCCAAAGAGGAACCCAGCGCCCCGAGGGCTTACATTCCAGCCAGCAGAGTCCTCAGGATCGGACCAAAGGAGATCACACATGGGCCCTTCATGTGGCACCTCCTGCTTGCGATCGATGACTCGAATTTGATCAAGTCGTTCAATATGGGGTGAAAGACCTCCGTGTACGCAAAATATCTGTAGCAATTAGCAGTTCCGTAAAAGGGCTTATTCATGCACAATTTGTCGAAACCACTCGGTTTACTGATGCGTCGTTAAATAAACTGATAAAAAAGGCCTACCCGATCGTCTATAATCGCAGATAAGCAAAGATAATCAAATATCTCCGTGCATTGACGCCAGACGAGAGGAGAGCCATATTTTCGTAAGCATTCCTCGTAAAACCCATACGCAGTAGTTATCTGACGACTTTCGTGGTTGCCCCTGATAAGAGTAATACGATCTGGATATCTAACCTATGATGCCACTACAGACGACTATATTCAGACTACCTTCAGCGCAAGTAGGAGCAAAAACGTTTCCACACTATAATACCCTCGATCAACAAAATCACCCAGAAACAGGTAATTCGTGTCCGGTACTTCACCACCAACTTTAAAGAGCTCAATTAAATCAAAAAATTGACCGTGAATATCTCCGCAGACCTAAGAACATAATAAGAGTGCGACTTGACTCACTGTGACAGGAGAGTCAACGTATTGCACATTACTTTCCTCGATTAGGATTTCACGCGCCTTAGCACAAAGTGCTTTAACTTCGCTTTCTGATATCAATTTACATTCCCTAAGCAATGCTATTTGCCGATCCAAATCGCTCATTGAAGCCATCAACCTCACCCCACACCCGGCAAGGCTATTTGCAGTCGTGCCACGGAGCTAAACCGAACAAACTAACAAAACTAATTTTTTGCTGCTGATCTTCATGAATATGCAAAACTTACAAATATAGTGAGTAGACTAGCTGGCTTTTTGATTAAAAGGCACAGAAATGCAGAGTTTGTAAGGGTAGTATGGTTTATGCTAATATTTATATGTAGACTCTACACGATACACTGCACGTGCATCTCTTTAACACGGTGCTGATTGATCGGGGGAAGGACGGGTTGGTTGCACCTTTGAGCATGCTATGCCTCAGCTAACCACTTATCACGCCATTAAATAGCAACCCGGTGACTGCGCACCAGGGGATTTCAGCATTTGGCACGAGACTGGCTCTCGGGACGCTACAGTTCACTATTAACGCACAGAGGATTTGAGATGCCAATAGCGTGGCTTGAACGCCGCCTTGCAATGCGGAATAGCAGCCTTTGGAGACTAAAGCACTACGCTGTTGAAGAACGTCACAAATGACAAAAATTTCCTTCGAGAACTTTTCTTTTTCAAAAGGCAATGCATCAATCTACATGAATAAAATTAAGAAATATTTAGATGTGCTTAAAGTCACTAGATTATATTATTTGGCCTTATGCACTCGTTCTTTTATGAGCTATAATGTGTTATTTTTTAATGGTTGGGAATCAACGGCATCCATTCGTTTTCAAATAAAATATAGTGCAAAATAAGGTAAATCATGAATGTTTTGAGCCCTTTATTCACTTATGAATCTAATAAGCTTTATAAACACGACAGATTGCTGAATTAATTAATGTGATTGTAGATCCTCTAGACTTCCTTGAGGATAAAATAACACATAATACTCGGGAAGAACATATTTATTCAGCACAGAGAAGGTATTTGAGCTTCTGGCATGGCCCGGAGGCTAGCCCACCTGGAGAGGTACAGTAACAGAGATAAAGTGGCCCTTTACCAAAACCGATCGTTAAGCTAACAGTCAACGTAGTACATAACCCCTCTCCTCTTTTGAGCGTCGTCCCCGGCGCTCCCCCTGGCTTGGTCAGCCTTCCGCGTCAGCCATCACAACGTAGTCGGTGCTGTAAGGAAACACACGCGATCTGGCCATGCCAGTCATCAAATTCCTATGCAACTGAGGGGATACTTGACCGCAACATCACTGATCCTCTTGGTGATTCAACTGTATCTGGAGTTTCGTCTAGGTTTGGGAAGTGGATTCCGGAACGGGAAACTGTGCTGGCCATCATGCGTGTCCATGGCTAGCCGTAGGAACACTGGTATCAAAGCCGATTTGTGTAAGGAAGGCCTGGGTTTTAGACACTTTCGGGGGGAGGGAGGGGTTTCGCTTCCGTTCCTCCTTGCCGCGCTGTTCACACTTTGGAGCTGCCTAGGCTCTACTGAGATAGTAAGTGAATGGAGGAGGCATCGCGAATTTACTTTATCAACAGCTTAATGCAGATACGGTAGGGAAACCCTGTAACAAAACTTTCAGATGGTTCACGGCTAGCGCCGCGTCAGTTTTTAATAGCTTTCTCGCAAATCCCATCATTTATTAATAACTAAACATGTAATATCCTCACTAATGACTTAAGTCTAGACGCTCTCTCACTTTAGACTTTTGGTTCTCATTATTTTTACTAATCTGTACGATTTCGCCGGAATGTTTTCGTATGCCAAAACGGTTTGCTGTTCAACTTTTTGTTAACAGCCAATCTTCATAATGTGTCAAGTGGTGATATCCCTGATAAATATTTCATAACGGTCTGCATTGGGTGTGGTGGATTTAGGAGCGGTTAAGTGCAATACATGATAAAACTGGATGATGTATTGGACGAATAGTGTGAAGAGTGTCTGAGCTTACTGTAGGTTTACCTGATTTGTTCACCTCAAGTGCACATTTTAAACTCGACATAGCAGTGTTGTATCATGCCGAGCTTTTCATTGAGGCTCCTTCGAGCATATTTTATCAAATCAAACCTAGTGTTACCTGATTATGTGAGTCTTTACAAAATATACTACTTTTTTGACGGAATACTTCTCGATTACCGCTGATATACTGTTGTCACAATTTGCAAAACCCCCCTTCCATTTTCATTTAAGGTGCAATTCTCAACATTTATAAAAATAAGCCGTTAAGTGGATCTATAAAATGTGCATTAGTATCGGGATAACACTCTTGTAATTCTGAATAGTTGCAAAATTTGCCATGGAAATTTGGATTTCTTATGCTCCACAATGTAGAGTGGCGTCTTAAAAAGCTCATTCGATTATGCCCTCACATCTAACAGGCTTACGATGCGTCGAATGCTGTGGGGAAGGCATCCCGACTACTGGCGTAACTTCCCCATTTGTCCCCAAAAATGCGTTGTTCCAAGTATGGAACCGTTTATTCAACAGAAAAAACCCTAAGCTTAACGACCTTAGTTGACAAAAAAGTATTCGCTCTCAAGTGCCCTTCCATCATGCACTTCTGCTGAGAACAAGGAGTCCTGCAGCGAATCGTATCCTAATAAGGCCTATTTTTCCATAAAGCTCCGAATAAATTACAACGACGTTCTAATTAGTAAACGGAACAAACAAAATTTTACCCGAAAGTGGATCTCAGCATCAGGATTGACCCATTTCACATTATTTCAGAAGGAAACTCTGCCACAATAACATTCTACAATTTCACTCCCAACTCATTACCAAAGTCCTGCTAGACATCAAAATAATACCAAAGAATACTGTAGCCACTTAGTTGAAAGGGCTGATTTCTTACTAAAAATCCAACGGACTTATCGTTTATCATGACAGTTTTCCTGGGTAACTTGTTTGGGTTTCACAAAGGGACGAAAATCTAAAAATACTATTTAGGCGCATATTGGCACTCCAATGCAGACGACAAAAATTGAAGAAGTATATATGGGAGTAATCAAAGAAGTTTCGCCTCAATAAGTTTATGAAATGAGTTGCGCAAATTTCGAACTAGCTGCCATTCATCCGAACTGGCTATAGAGTGGTCGAAAATATACTGCCATAAGCGTGCATCTTGGAGCTCCTCAAAGACTGAGTTCATTTGGTTGATCGAGTTGGGACTGAGCTGACCCTCGATCAGGGTGTTGAGAGCTTCCTGGAGTTTTTTCAGGGTGTCTAGGAGCACAGAAACATCCAGTCTGCGGGAGGGAGAGGAGGTGGAGGGGAGGACTGCGGCTTCCTCTGCTGCGGAAGAAAGATCGAAGAAAATGAGGCCGAAATTGCGGCTCAGGCGCTCGACGCGTCGCATTTGAAGCACGGCTGAACGATTATCCAACAATTTTTCGGAGACAATGCCAACTTTTATAAGTGAACGGAGGATTATGTGATCAACCTTCCGGAAGTGAGCTTTGGGGGTGATGTGTGCCTGGGTGGAAGAAAACATGAATGCAAATTTAATGTGATGCACAGCGAAGACATGCGTGTCCTGCGAATGATAGGAACTGGATACGTATTTGCATCATTCTGACTTTAATTACTCGCGTGGTTTTGTCAACCAACGCCATCTCAACAAGTCTGCTCAAACAGTAATGCAAAGCTCACCCCCACGTGATAACCCTCAGGTTAAAAGGATATCCTAATCAAATTAAAATCATGCCATTCTTGAATTCCCAACATCCTTTTGCCTGATAGCAAGTACAGCGCACTGCCGAAGAAATAAGCCTATTTCGAAAAATGAAGGCGTACAAGCTGCACACACTTTAAAATGCCCCTTTCTGCCCAACGAAGATAAATCTGACGCTAATTTCAGAGACTTTTCCCATTCATCATCTATGCACATCGGGAGATATGTAATATCATATGAAAAGGGTTTCGAACTATTGCAAATCATCATGGTTGTGGCCATGTTGTTCATTGTTGACAAAGCTCAAGCGGTCCTCAGATTACAAAACCTGTAACGATCATTAGTCCTCCATATGGTATAGCGTTTTGTTGGTTTAGTGGCGATTCCAATTGCTACATTAGGTCTTCTAATCACCGTAGCAGTGAACTGTAGTCGTTAGACAACTATGTTAGATACTAAAGCAAATGCGGTAACTTCCTCAATCTCCATGGCGCATCTTTGTTTTTCACAGCGGCAAGAAAGTAGTGGTTGTGACCTAAGCGTAGAAAAACGATAAAAATGAGGACCTTAATGTCTTTCGGTAGGGATTTCCAAAAAAGCATGAGTCCTGCCCACTTCACCATATACAGACAAGAGATGGAGGGAGAAGGTGCCCGCCATCACTATTTATTGCCCCTTACAGTGGTTCGATTTTGGTGCCGAGAGCAACACTTAGAACACACAAAACCTTCACACTGCTTTAAAATTGCTTACCCACTCAGTGGAACTTTTCTCAGCTGGCTTTTGCGATTTTATGGTTGAAAATGCAGTTAGGCAATCAATGTTGTCAACCTGTTTAACGTCATCACTAATTAAGGAAGTGTTTACTAGGTATGAAAGCATAAAAATCCCGCCTTTTTTCCTTTATGATACATTTTTGTTTTGGCTTTCATGTGGTGAAAGCTAGAATGGGTTCCATGACACGACGTAGATGCACCTCCCCCTACATTTTATTGTGAAGTTGTAGTAAAAAAACAAATGCCAATTGTAAACTGGAAGATGGGCAATATAATTTGGAACTCTTCCAATGCTCTTAATGTACATGGATTACTTCGTCCGTGCATTCATTTTGACATCATCATAAACAACAGAGCTAAAAGGTATCCTTGGTGGGTTGAATGTGGAAAGGACGATCTGATTACGGTGTAGGGCTACTATTAGTGATAGGAGCCAACAGATAGGAAGATACCTTACACTTTCACCGGATTTTCAGCTATAGCAATATCGCTTGCTTTAATGTTATCTCTCACAACTAAGACATTATTTGTTTACTCCAATGAATCTAGGCATCAGGAGAGCAACCAAGCAGTCTAGTTTAACATTTAATCTATGCTAATGCTCATCTGTCACAGAAATCAAACATAGTAGTTTTGGGCTTTGGTTAGGTTAACGTAGTGAACACCAGGAAAATAATTGCCTGAAATATCAAAAAAATACTTTGAAATAGATCTAAAGAAACTGCACACCCAACGCCAGCAAGACGGAAAATTCCATAGCAGCCATCTTTCCGCACTCCTGCAACGTTGTGTGACCCTGAAATATCATTCAGAAATCCCAGGGACGTCATGCCCACCAGGTGCCATACATCTAAATGAAGGCAGTGTTTATAGTATGAAGGCGATGGTGAATGCAACAGGATGAGGATTTTTTTAATATTAGGTAGCCGTAATTTAAAAAGCCTGAATCGTAGAAAACGGTAAAGGAACATAGATCGTCCCAAACATAGTCCCTGGCCGAAGCCTCAGCGAACAGACCGGCGAATTTGCATTACTGCAGATTTATTTAGCGCTACTAATAAACTTGGTCCTAATTCACTTGAAGCAGTAACGCGACAAAACCATCGAGGGGATAGTCATCACCGATACATATGATTTTTAACTAGTCAAAAATAATGTGCTCTGTTAGCATTTAGTAAAATCCAACTACCACTGTTCGGGGATTTCGAAATACTCTTTGTATTATTATGCGACATTCTAGCATACTAGTCCTAAACGCAGCATATTTATGAAGGGAGTTTACAAGGAGGTTTATGAAGAAATAGGTGGAAATTCGCAAGTAGAAATCAAGGGCTCACTGCAATAGCAATATTTTCGCGTGGAACAATTACGAATGCCTTGCACGACCACTTACCTTGACACAATATCCCACATCATAAAATTAACGCCTCGTCTGTTAACGATGTTACCGAAATGCATGCGTGCGAAAAAATGTCTTCGTCAGGAACCTGCTCCGCTGGTTATCGGAACTGGCGCAAAACCACATTCCCACAATACTGCGAACAGCCGTAGAGGTTTACCTCTTTTGATTGCAAAAATAAAGAGAATGCAGAATTTTGAATTCCAGTTTAAAGGAGGCT